CAAACACAGGTAATCTCAAGTACAAAGAACTGGATGGACTTTAATTCTAAATTTATGAGAAAGTATCATCATAAGTCCTTTTAATTTTTTTTTAGTGACCAAAGACAGCAGCCTTGATTCTAGCTGGAGCCCATAGAGTGGTTATCAGTTTTCTAACAAAAACAATCAACATGATTTAAATCATTACCACGGGACATCTGTGATCTTCTGCCACACCAGAATTCACTGTTTGTTGCACTCATTCTTAATATGCTGCCTGTGATGTCACAGGTCCATCATTCTCCAGGCAGCAAGGTTTATATTATAAAAGAGTAACAAAACAGTTTATATCTTGCTACCTATACTTTGGTGCTACACAAAATTAAAGGATTCGTTGGACCAAATATTAAGATCTAATAGGATCTCATGAGTTTTTTTTCTAACAAGTACAAATTGTCAAAACAATGTGTGCTTTTCAATTTCCACTCATTTAAAACTCTTTCGACAGATGAAATATGCTTTTTTTAACATTAGCTTAGACAACTAACTCATTCTTCATTTCTCTCTTTCTATCCTCTATTTTAGGCAATAAAATAATGAGAGAGAGAGAGAGGGAGAGGGAGAGACAGATAGACGGACAGAGAATAAAAAGCCAGGATAAAAGATATGGTACCAAGCCAGGGTGGGAATCAAGACTAAATGACTTCCAAAGCCCCATTAATCTTTCCTTTTTAATATTGAAAAGAGGAGGAGGGAAGGTGTTTGGACCTGGAGAGAACTTCCCGGTCTCACCTTCTATTATGTGACCTCCAGGAATCCAGCTCAGATCCTAAGGTGGTGGGTGACAGGTGCCTTCAACCCACATTTTTATGATTAAGAACCTTTCCTGTGCTAGAGCAGTGGTTCTCAACCTTCCTGATGCTGTCACCCATCAATACAGTTCCTCATATTGTGGTGACCCCAACCACGATATTATTTCCGTTGCTACTTCAAGACTATAATTTTGCTGCTGTTAACGAATACCAATATAAATGTCTGATATGTAGGATAAGTGATCTGTGACCCTTGTGGAAGGGCCAAAGTGGGGATCAATTGAGGACAATATTGCATATCAGGCTCTGCCCTCTGCAGACATGCACACATTATATATATATATATTACAAATTATATATATATATATATATATATATATATATATATATATATATATATGTTTCTTTCCCTAAATCCTCTATATGTACTAAGGAGAAACTCTCAGTACACCAGTATAATTAAGCCACAGAGAAGCTCTTCATCATACACGGGTGAACTGATCTGAAAAGTTTTCAACATAAGTAGTTCCTGGTCGATGCCCTCTCTGTGACAGACCTCAGCTTACCCCTCCTGTGCCAGCCCCACCAGACCATACCTACAGCACCGACTTGGCCACCTGCATCTTCCCAGCCCCTAGGCACATCGGCTCAGGGTACTGGAGGACAGCTTTCTACACCCTAAGCTACTACCTCATTGGCTCACGACTGTCAGCTGTTCGCTTCTCTTTCTCCAAATGTTTGCCCACGCGGTTAGCCTGTGTGCAATCCTAGTCTCATCACTCAGGCTTATAGGTCGTCTAAACTTTTCAGCAATTTGCCCTGACTGGACCACTCACTGCCAGGTTCTGCGCCCACAGCTGGCTAGTTAAGGCTGCCTCCTACGCCTCTGTGTTCTGGCAACACTTGAGATTAAGTAAACGCTTGATGTCTGTTTTAAAAAAAATAAGATATAATTGTATTAATTTCCTTGATTTTTTTTCAAAAGCACTTAAAAGTTTAAACTATAATGTGTTCAACGTTGAGCTGTTTTTATTGTGAAATCACCATTTACGTGTTTTCATATCTTTCTCAGTGGCTGCCTCCCTCTAGTTATGAGGCTTTTTCATGAAACATATTAATGTTCACTGCCACATTGTAAGTGGTTTCTCCAGTTCATAGATTTCCATCAAAATTATCACTTTTTTAAAATTTTTAAAGTATGCTTTATTTTTAACATATCAAATACAGCGATTTCCTTGAAAGTTATGATTTTTGGATTTTGAGACAACTCTTGGAGTTCTTGGCCACTGAAGAATTTTGTTTTGTTTTGTATTGTTTTATGGTTTTTCCTTTTTCTTTCTTTTTTTTTTTTGTTTTTTTTTGTTTGTTTGTTTGTTTGTTTTGTTTTTCGAGACAGGGTTTCTCTTGCCTGTCCTGGACTTCCTTTGTAGACCAAGACAGAGCTCCGCCTGCCTTTTTCTCCCAAGTGCTGGGATTACAGGGGTGTCCAGTGAACATGTATGAAACCACTTAGTCTTACTGCAGTAACCTGTGCACTGATTCAGCTATTGGCTTCTGTGATGCTAGAAACTGAGTCCTGGATAGAGTGCATGCTAGGGAGCCGTCTCCCTCTGAGCTACATTCCCAGCTACATCTATAACGCATAGTATCACCAACGTTCAATATCTTAGGAGGGAAACTCTCTCTGACCTGACAGACTGTAACACTAGGCAGACCATCGGAATTAAGGCAACACAGAAGGAGCGTTAAGTTCCCAGTGTGGAACACTCTAAAGAGACTCTTCATGGAAGCCAACGTGCAGGTCACCACTTCAGCACTTAAGTCGTCTCTGGTTTGTGGTAGAGTTAAAACCTGACAAAATCAGAAGTAGAAAATACTGCCTGTTTGAAATGTGCAAAGCATATTTTATGCCTGCCACACACTCTTGTTTGCAACAGTGGATAGCCTTCAGGACCCACTGCTTCCCTTCATGGTGTGGCAGCTGCCTGGGAGCGAAGGGCCATCATCACCAATCAGCATCTTCTCAGAGCACAGCATTGCCTGTGGCTGGGCCATGAAAACACCAAACCTCAAGTCTGGTTTCTATTGTGTCACCTCCACACAATCACAGAGTTGAAAATTTCTAATTCCAACTTAGGCTGGGGATACCTGCACATTACACTACTGTGATTAATTGGAAGAGTGGTGAGGATAATGAGCCTTTCAAATCCCCAGAGTAGGAGCCCCTACTCAAGAGTGGCTCAATAAATATGTTAGAAAGGAAACAAAAAGGAGGAGGGAGGGGCTGAGATGTTTGTTCAAGGTACAGTATCATTGTTTGATCTCATTTGTTTTCCTAAGAAAAACAATCTACATTAAGCCAAATAAAAAGCTGAAACATAGTTCTGCGAAAGTAACTAAGGCAGACTGTATCCTAAGCTTTAGAAAAGCTAAAAATTCATTCCCAGCCAGGCATAGTGATGCATGCTTTTAATCCCAGCATTCATGGCAGCAGAGGCAGGAGGATCACTGTGATCTCTGGGAGTTCAAATCCAACCTGGTCTATAAAGCAAGTCCAGAACAGCCAAGGCCACACAGAGAAATCCTGTCTCGCCAAACAAAAACAAAAACAAAAACAAAATCACTCCCAATGAAATGAATGAAAAATGTATTTGTTATCCTAAATAATTTGCTACATTCTTTTTAAAAATATTTAAAAAGCAGCGGAAGAGATGGCTGAGTGGTTAATAGCAGTGGCTGCTCCTCCAGAGAAGCCAGGATAGAGCTCCAGCACCCACAGGGTAGCTGACAACAGCATATGACTCCAGTTCCAGGGGAGCTGATGCTCTCTTCTAGCCTCCTCAGGTGCCAGGCCTGCACATGGTGTACGAACATACACGTAGGCAGAAGAGTCATGCACAGAAGAATGTTTTTATTTGTGTTTGTGTGCATATGGGGGGGGGTGGTGGTGCAGGCATGCGTTATGGTTTTCGTGTGAAAATCAGAGAATAACTTGAAGTATTCTGTTCCCACCTGTGGGTCCCAAGCACTGAACCAGGTCACCAGATAAAGTCGCAAGAACCTCTACCACCTACAAGAAAGCCATCTTAGCAGCCTTGGTATATTATTTCCTCCTCCTCTCTCATTCCCTCCTTCTCTTTTTCCCTCTCCCTCTCTCCCCTCCCTCCCTCTTTCCCTTCTTCTTCCTCCCTCTACTCCCTCCCTCCTTGCCCTCTCCCCCTTCTCCCTTTCCCTTTCCTCTCGTGTGTGTATGTGTGTGTGTGTGTGTGTGTGTGTGTGTGTGTGTGTGTGTTCCTAATTCACAGTACATCTTTGAAAGATGAAAGAAAAGCCCTCTCGTTGGTCTGGAACTTAAGAATTAGGCTAGATTTGCCGGCTAGCTAGCCGAATCTCAGGGATCTTCCAGTTTCTACCTCCCCAGTGGTGGATTTCCAAATGGGTGCCACCTGGCCAGCCAAGGCAAGGCAAGCACTTTGTCCACTAAAGCATCCTCCCAACCTCCATTTCGCATTCTGGAAAACGCCTAAGAGCTACATCTTTCTCGATGCTTCTCAGTTTTGTAAATGTATACAAAAGAATTCTTTTTAAAAAAAGGTTTGGAATTTGAAAGTGTTTTTACAATTATTACTTTTTAGAGAACGAACATGCCTTTAATGTCAGATGGGACTTCGTACGCCAGGAAGGAACTCAACTTGAAATAAGTCTAGGAAGAAGGAATTGAGCCCTGCGTGTCCGACCCTGCCCAACATACAAGTGGTTCCATCCCAGCGCACACCTCTGAATATGCTCATGTTCACATTTCTTACTCTACTCAGACTAAGTACTCTCTGGCAGTCCCTCCAGAAGCCCCACTTCAATGCTCTGTACCAAATGCTCGCTCACTTTTCCCTGGCCTATTATTTGGCCTTAGTGGTAAGTCTCTTTTTCTCCCACTAGATAAATCTTCTAAAAAGACTGTTAGTTCCAGGAAGATGAAGACTTTTAAACACAGCAGCCAATGTAAGAGTTAAAAATTCATTGTTAACAAAATGGAACAGGGAGGATATGTTCCCAAAATGAAAAACAAGCTATTTTTAAAGGCCTTGCCTTTACCCAGCCTGGAGGGCCCCACGCCCACCCGCTGACTCCCAGATCCTCTGTTAGCACACAGCACACGGGAACAGGACCAAGGGGACAGAGTACTCCCAAGATGAGCTGAAGGTTTCTAACCTGAGGAGCTGGCAGACCTTCCCTCTCCAGAGGATGGATGGTGTGTCTGAATGCTTTTCTCAGTGAAACAGGTTTTTCTTGTTCCTTTGCTTTAAAAGCAGCTCTGTGGTGGGAGCTGGAGAAGGAAGGGTAGGGAGACAGAACAGCTGAGTCAGTGGGAAAGGACAGTCCTTTCACAACTCAAGTTAAGGTTCCCAAGACCTTCCTCCCATGATCCTCTAGCAATGGGAAATGTCTAAAGGAGTAAGTGAGAAAGTAGAAGCCGGCAGTGACTCCTCTTCCTCACCAACCAGTCAAGCATTATGCATTCATAACCTGTGTAAACTGACATGTCTATTTTCATCTGTGTGACATGGAAGAGTGTCATTTTTAAAAGCTTAACAATTTCCTTCGGGTAAAGCTAAAACACCTTTCCCCTTCTACGTCAGGTTCTTGCTGTGTTTATCTGCATATACACAACCCCAGATGCTGTCTTCAGCCCAAGGGATGGATTTCCTGATGAGAACATGGTCACATATGCAGACACCCAGAAGCCCACAGCATACCTCCATCTAAACAGCAAGGTTATACACACGAAATCCCCAACCATACCAACTCAAACTCACTGAGCACTCTAATCCAAGGTTTTACTCAAAAGATCATTTTTTTTTCTAAAATGTACTTGTCAGTATTTATGTCATAAATAAATACTGGGTGGGTGTTGATTTGTTTTGTCTTTTAGCATTCTACCGATGTTCTGTGAAGCCACACATCTCCTCCGTAATGAATGCAACGAGGATTAGCAGTTGTGATTCTTGGGACCGGGTTCTTCTCTGATAGTATCAGCAATCCTGACTCCAAGAAACAAACCTCTAGGCATCTTTTTCCTTCTTTTACTTAAAACTTTTTCATTTGACCAACTCACTGTGCATGACACTGTGCTACATAGGACGTTGACAGACAAGTGCACATTGTACGCGGAGCCCTTTCCGTCTCACATTCAGAAAATTAGCCGGGATCAGAGAAGACCAATGGACTGGGGATGGTTAACAAACGCACTCATTGCTGTTTTCTCTTTCTCAGCAGAAACATCTTTCGCATGCCACAGTTAAAATCCAAAGGGCAACGTTAGGACCATTAGGACATGGCTTAAGGATAGGAAAAGAAGCTTTTAAAGGGTGGTTCAAGAAAGCCCTGAACGAACGGAAGACTTAAACATAAACCCCATAGGCTGATTCTGGCATTTATACAAATTTATATATGGGATGAAATTGGGGTGAACTACATGCACAGTCACAAACATGTGGGTGAATGTAAAACTAGTGCTCTCTGCGTCAACTGTGCAGAGTGTACCAGCGCCAGTTTCTTGGTTTTGATTCTGTCCTCTGTTCCTGTAAGACATAAACAGTGGGAACAGCTGGTAAAGGACCTGGTTAAGAGGTCTCAGAAGGTCCACGTGTCCTGGTCAAACTCTGAAGGAAACACATCGGCCAATCACTACCCCTTCATAGCTCACAAAACAAATGCCACACGATCATTATGAAATAGTCACATCAACCTAAGAATCACACCACTAAAATATCTGCTCTGGGGAGAAATTTTTTGCTCAAGTTGTTCTGACCCAATGGAAAAGAACAGTCAGAGACTCTTCTTAGGAACAGGAAGTATATCTGACTGCAAATGCTCAGTGTTTCTTTTAAATTATCTTCTGATATATATCCAAACTTAAATTACCACATAGTTCAAAATATGAATATATTAGAAGTGAAAACAGCCTAGGGGGACAGGTGGTGTTACTAACAAATATTTTCACTGGTAAGACTATTAACCTAGAACAGATACTGTTTTTCAAAAATATAGCTATGGATTTTCTTTGCAAAATCTGTGCTTTCCTGGGAAGGTGTTCAATAAGCAAATAATTTAATTTCTAATTAGTATGTCCTCCTACTCAAAAGATACTCTATCTTTCTTTCTGATTAATTTACAATTCGCAATATCTTGATACTTCAATTTTTCTGCCAAGTTATTCTAGTCAGTTCTTTGGGATCTATATTTCTAACATAATATATAAAAAGTACTATAGAAAAAATAACCATATAAAATACTCAAAAGCAAATAAAGTTATTAAGATTTTGACTCATTAAAGACTTACTACTCAAAGAATCATTTTGAAAGTGGAAGGAGGAGAGAATTAAAGTACTAAGTTTCAAAACAATAAATTAAGATAAATATAGTATTTCCACACACATCTTTATCCTCAGCTCAGGTGCTCACTGTACTGAAGATGACTGACTCCACCAAATGGCTGATGGACACACAGGACCACGTTATAATGTCAGTCAGTTGTCACTCAGAAACTGTGGTACAAACACTTCACATGAAACAGTGCCTTCCACTGGTAGATGTGTATAGCATGGCTTGTTCAAACAAGCTTATGACTGTTCAGAGTGAGTAACCTATAAACAGACATTCTCACAGAAAGGATTCAACCACATGTATAACTTGAATAATAAATGAGTTATATAGACAGGACTCTTGATCCCAGTATTTCCAAATAAACAAGTCATTAAAATACCCCTCAAAGTTTCCTAGGTCAAAAGTTATCTGTCACAGGTACCAACACACAGGAAAAATATAATAAACACAGACTACTACACCAACAATTCACTTTTTTTTCAAGTCAACCAAGTACCACTCTAGAACCAAACAATAGGGCAAAGACCATTCAAGGCAGTCAGAATTTATGCTCTCTCATAGAGATCATCTCCACAAAAGAGAAAAAAGTGTGGCCCATACTATCTGTATATGCTAAACAGAACCATGCAATATGACCAGTCAAAATTAAAAGACTGAGAAAGGCAGAACATCTGGGGTCCTGGCCGAAGCTCTTCAGCCCTTGGACCCAATGAGAATCCTACCTCAAGCCAAGAAATGAACTTCTAGTACTACAGGCTGGATGCCAACATCGGCACACATACAAATCCTCTGCACTTTCCACTTTGAAGCATTGAAAGATTCACAGGTACTTTCAGTAGGCATCATTTAGTACAACGACAAAACAATACACAGGAAACTGCCACAAATCTTCAGGGAGTGTCCCCAATTCTTCGGTACACATTTATACACAATATTAAGTTGTACAAGCCAATAGCTGAGGTCATCAAAAATCCCCCGCACCAAGTGTCACAACAAAGCAGGCCAGAAGAAACAGTAATTTCTCTTCATTTCTGTCTACCCTCTCACTCTCCTCCATTCAAAAGCTTTCTATTGACCTTGACCCCTTCTTCACTCACATCATTCCCATCCTATGAGTTCTTCACAGGTCCCATAAATTTTAGCCGAGATTGACTGCTGGAGTCACCTCTTTCCCATCTGCATTGCCTTAACTGTTGTCCAGAGTGGCATTACATAAAAGCCCACTAAAACTTCATGCATGCCTCTAAAATTCTTTCTCCCAGTATGCCAGCGTAGGTCTCACTAAACAATCACAACAGAGCACTACAGCAGGCTTTTCCTCATCTGCGCCTGTGCTCACTTCCTTCCTCTGAACGCTGTGGACAGAGATCCAATTCCTTTATACCGGCTTCCCCAGGGAAATCCCATGCCACTTCTCTGCTATCTCCGAGCACCCATGGTACTTTGCATATTTTGTAGCATAAGTACTCCTAAAGTATAATTAATTATTGATGAAAGTATTTATCCTCATAGCATCAGAGAAAAGAACGGGCATTTCATTTGCCCTTATGTCATTTCTGTGCATCAGACATTAAACAAAAGATATGGGTTAATAACTATATACTCAAAGGCACTGGCACTCAATATTCTTAAGATTTATTATCAAAGGAAAAAGTGTCTATATAAAAGTCTGTTTAATAGTTAACCTGTTTACAGTAATCACTCTTCTTAATACTCACCAATACCTTGAACTAATAAAAGAGGAATCCCAAAGTGAAGCTATAGTGACTCAGCAACCCGGGCACTGAAGTAAATACACACATGCCACGGTCCCATGTGCGCACAGATGCCCAGAGGAAAAAAACCCACAGAGCAGACCAGCAGAGGTTTGAAAGAGAGATTCTGGGTCAGAGTGCTATGGTCCAATTTTACCTTGACCACTCGCTGTGTGAATGTATACAGGAACATATTTATCTATGCTTCAATTTCATCATGGGAGAAATGGCAGTATTAGTTTTATCTTTAGCATATAAAACATGATATATTAAAGATATGTAGATTAAGTGCTCTTCATTATTTTCTGTATCATTTATGATTTTAATCACAACTTAAGTATTAGGAATGATGTTTTCTACTGGCTTACTTCTTAACAGCTAATGTTTCAAGGGCTATTTACATGAAGATTCAATCCTGAAAACATACAATGTTTTCATATATATATATAATATAACATATTATATATAATAAATATATAATAAATAATATTAATAAATATATAATATATAATAAATATATAATATATCTAATAAAACATATCTAATATAACATAATCCTGAAAACATATATCTCCACTTCTCTGCCAGGCAATACTTCCTGTTGTTACCATAATAATGATACCAAGTGGACAGACTATCCCAAGTATTACCAAAAGGAAGGAAAGCAAGGAGAGGGCCCCCTCCAACTCTAGTATCCTGAATACTTTATGAGTTGGGCTCTGAGAATCTTACCTCTGCCATAGTATAAGTAGACAAAAAGATTTAATGGTTTCTTGCATATGAACATCAATTAAGTAAGACTTGATAAGTATGTTAAAAGGTCATAAAGTAATTCAGAAGGTGCTTATAAATACGTAACGTTAAATATTTACAATGTGTCGTTCACCAGAACAGATAAAACCTGTGCTTCATAGAACAGGAGCTCATGAAGCAGTTAGTGAATATGGAGAAAGCATTAACTGAGGCACAAATTAAAACTGAGACAGCACAATGAATCTTGATGAGTAGGAAGCTGTTCTAAGCTGTGGGCATGATGTGGACATGCCTGAGATTAGAAAAGTAGCCAGCAAATAAGAGATTCAAGAGTGATCAAGATCTTACATATGATTATCCAAATCCAAAATCAAAAAAGGGAAGAAAGGAAAGAGAGACAGAGAGAAAGGGGGGGGGGCTGAAGTCTAGGCTG